AGCTATTATTTCATCCAGATGAAACATGGAGAACAGAGAAGCAGATCATGGCTTGTCTCCCGTGAAAAGAAGGACTGGGTTATTTAGGAAAACAAGAAGAAAAGGGACAAGAAGAGAGGGACAAAACCTAGAACAGATAATTGATGTCTATTCTATTAACATTTCTCTATCTGTATAATGGGTCTGTTTATGTGTTGTCTTCTTAATTCAGAGGGCCCCCTGCCTGTCTTTGCCTAGGGCCCCAAGTTTCCTAAATCTGTCCCCATTCATTATTGCCAGTTTTCCATCTGTTTTGTCCATTTTGGCTCATCTTGTATTAATTTATTAACTAATGATAAACTATTTAATAATAAAAGTCCTTCACGCTCTTCTCTGCTTGCTTGCTTACTTGTCCCTCTGCATTGGGATCATTTTTCACAGGAAACATGACAGACGAGACAGGCTCCTATGCTTCAGCCTGGTGGAACTGCTGGCCCTCCTCTGTGTCCTTCAGCTACACTCTGTGTCCACCAGAGCCTCAGAAGCCTGTCGCTGCTCTCATCACCTAAACCTCCCCATATTTCCTGACCTTACTGCTATACTACACCCACTCCTGCAGCTGAGGCAGCATCCACAGTCTCACCTCAGAGTAACTGCACAGTACTCCAGGACCCAGGTCTCTCATTATTGCTCCCTTGCCTGGGTCATACCTTAGTTCCCGGAGGCCCTTGCTTCACTTCAGATCTTCAAAGCCTGTGTGCCACCTGCTGCACCCCCCGGGCCACTTGCTGCACCCTCCAGTGAGCTGCAGTTTTGCATTACAAAGCTTGCTCTGCTCCTCAGAACCAGCCCACGCAGCCCCAGAGACTTCCCCATGTGCAGCCTCTCTCTGCTGCCTCCTTCAGAGACGCTGCTCTGCCTGCCTACGACTTCTTTACATGTGTGTCCTACTTCAACACAAATCATGACAGTTGAAGTGCTTCTGCAGTGCTTACACACATAAACAGATATTCAACATGTACACAAATAATTGATCACAGGAGAGGAAAGTAAAAACAGATTCGTACTTTGCTTTAGAGCAAACTAAGCCTTCCCTTTGCATGCTGTTATTTGGGTTTCACAAATCAAAGCTGTGTATAAAAAATATATATTTACAATCATTCTGTCAAGGTGTGTGGATCCTTTTTCAGTTTTAACA